CGACACGACCATGTCGGTGTAGTTACGTGTCAGCCATCATCCACCCAATGCTGTTCAGAGAGCAGATACACACGGCGGTAGCTGGCGTGCGGCCATGCCAGGTGCGTGCAACATTGCGGTCAGATTGCAGACTATCTGGCTGTTTTTGCTGGAGGTATCGACTGCTCGTCACGGGTACTGTGAGTCTACACGGGCGGTCGCACGTGCGCAGCGTTAACACAAGAAAAAGGGCCCGCGTGAGGGTGCCGTGAGGGTGCCGGTAAAGATCGTGACACGTGTAATAGGCGCCGGTCGGCACGCACCGTGAGGCTCTAATGAAACTGTGAAATGGACATTTTTCAGCTGGTTATCAGGCATTGGCTGGTAACAATTTGATGGCGGTGCATGCGTAAACAAGCCAGCAAATCGCTCTCAATCGCTCCTTCATGCACAATGCATATACATTATACAATTATACATAATCCCTTTAAACGATTATACTTTACGTCTCGTACTTACAAGACAGCTTGCCAAATAATTGTTGCTCGAAATAACATTGTAGAAGGAGGAAAAACTAGTCACCTGGACCCACGCGGTCAACACCAAGATCTCAAACCACCTGATTATAAACAACATATCAACACGAATGAAACCTTCATTAACGGCACAAAGCTGATTTTTTAGTGAAACCAAAATATGAACTGCTTCGGACCCATTGAGCCATACCCACGGATCCAAGGACTCACGAACCTACGGACCCAAAGACCCACGAACCCACGAAGGAGAGTTCGGGTCGAGCGCGCTGTCACGAGCCGCTGCAAGAACTCCTTCCCCTACCCTGTGGACCGTGTGAGAGGCGCGGCAAACGACAGTGGCACGTGAAGCAACCGCCCTCGCACGTCGGACCGAGCCGTGACGAAACGGCACCACTCGCGGGAGCAAGGCGGGCTCGGGGTTCTGCCCCGGTCAGCAGGACTGGAGGAGTTGGCACACTGGGCGAGTGGGCACTGGAGTGGTGGACTGCATGGGGATCTTCAGCTCGGGCATGCTTGACATGTTTGGTCGCTCTAGATGACTAAATATGACGGTTGAGAGGTGTGGGAGCTGTGGTATACAAAGTCGTCAAATTATGAGTGAGGCAAGTGGCGACTACTGCACGTCATCGTGAGTTTGTGCGGCCACCCGAGCGGAGTGGCTGATAATTGAAACAGCTCATTTTCCTGTTCATGATTTCAGGTATCATTAGAAACATATCACTTCATCAGCCTTATGTAGCTATTTTAAAGTTTTTTTTTTTGGAAAGTCATGCATGAATTCCAGGAAAAGTTGGACGGTTAGAAAATAATCAGGCATATTTATCCAGCCCAGCAATTGGCACAGTTATGTAAGTGCATTATGTACAGTGAAGCTAATTTTCACTTTCTACTTTTTATTATTATTTGCACAATAGTATCTGCACTCACCACCTTATGACAGCACAATGTATCCGACACATTGCACATTTGGTGACAGCGAGGATGGCATGTATGTGATCACTAACTGAAACACGCAAGATGCATTTGTGCGTCCCGTCCCGTCCGCGGTCCGACCCAGTTGAGACGGCGCCCCGTGGCCAACTGTTCCGGCCAGATAGTTACCTTTGTATGCCTGCCTTCCCGGCGTTCCGGACATGCCTGTACCCCCACCCGACCCACCTCGCGCCGCGAGGCAAGCCCGTCAACCAATGCACCGGCCGGGCACATGCAAAGTGACAGCTTGCAAAAGTGACCCTTCACCCGGTCGTCTGACCGGCCGCAACAGCATCCATTGCATGGGGCCAGGCACGGGTAATCTCAGATAAATAGACGGCGGGACGAAAAACGGCTCTTCTGCAAAGCCATTATCCTTCGCACGTCTTCTTATATACTTAGTTATTCAGCCTGCCTCGTTTACCCTTAACTTGAGAGACATGGAGCAACGACGTTCTTGCCTTGTAACTTTATTAATTAAATTGAGTGTCGTCGAACAAACGGACTCTGAAAAAAACTAAAATGACAAGGCCGGCTGTTTTTGCTGAGGGCGAGGATGAAAATGAGTCACTTCTCAGCATCTATCATCTCCCAGGCCAGGTAACGAGAGGCGACATGCAAGTGAATTTCATGCACAAATATACTATCTAGGTATGTATCGCTTTATGCGTTACGTTTGTTCTTTTATTTTCTTGCAACAGAAATACGCTACAAACTACAACAATTGTCAAAAGATTTGAAGCGTGCTTATTCATTATCCCCTTGTTCATTACCTCTCATTCCCTTATTCACTTATTCATTATCTCTTATTCCCTTATTTACTTATTATCCCCTTGTTCATTACCTCTGCCATCCAATGAATAAAGCAATGCAGTGTTTGGAGATAGGTCGCAATTGCCGCCTGAGCAATTCTCCAGTCCTTATATGTACACGAACAAGTGATTATCTTGCAATTCGCACGACCTTGACCATCATGTGTGACAATGATTAGTTACCTCCAACGGCCGGCAAGGGCAGGTCTTCAGAACGACTTCACACTCCAGGCGGCAGGAACAAAAGGCGACAAAGCAGACTTCAGAGAAGTGTTCACCGCCAAGCCTGGCCGTCCCTGAGCCAGGCCACATGGGATCGGTGCGAAAAGGTCAATGTACCTAATGTATTCAAAATACTTCAATCAGATTTATGTTAAGAAAATCAGGAGTAAGGACGGAAGTAGCACAATTTGCCAGCGACGATTGACTTATAAAGTCAAGCTTTACACAAATAGGGTACACAAACACTTATACGCTCAGCATTGTATCAAGTACAAAAGGAGAAAGAAGTTCGCTAATACTCTCGACAACCAACCAATTCTCCTTGGCACCATAACAAGACGTCTTCCACACACTATTATTTCAGTCTGCGAGTACCGACTCAGGGACAATACACATCAGTGCCAAACCACCTAAACGATAGCAGTTTCACCGGGTCTTCCGTGGTTACTCGTCGAAAGGATTGAGCGGAAGTGCATTGCAACGCCTGAGCACCGAAGCTTTATTGCAAGACGGCAACACCGGACAAAGGAATCTCTCTTTGACTATTGGCCGTGACGTGTTCACTGGTATGGACTTATGATAAAGGAAGTGAATGTAGCTGATGCAGTGATATCATCAGCATCATTGTATCGGTCCAGAAACACACTGAGAAGTGACGAACATGAACTGGGTCGCTGCTTGTGCTATTTCATCAACTGTAAACGAGACCGATGAAACGTCGTAAACGTGCGGGGCGAAACCCATCTTTCTGACACATAGGGACACCATCGTATTTTTATCAAACCCTCGCATGTGTAGGGGGGGGGGGATGGACCACATGGCTCTTCGTGAATAACTCGCGCAAAAAGCGGCCGATCGCGACAAAACTGTCAGTACCCTCGAGTTGATCAACTTTACACCTACTCTGAAAATTTCATAACCTAGACCCAAGTGACCTTTGACCTGTGACCTATTTCTCGAGGCCATGTTTGGACGGAATCGCGATTCGGCGTACATACATATATCGGCTCGCATTAGCAGCGCGCTTGCAAGCTTTTCGTGGTTTCAAACGCTCAAACATGTGAGTTGATGTTGCTCCCATGCATTAGGGAATAGGGTGGATGTCAAGGTCACCTGAAGGTCAGGTCAGGTCACTGACCTTTGGTGACCTCGGTTCACTTTTCGAGTTTTATATGTTTCTAGGCTAGTTTTTGGAGCTGAATTCAAACTTAGCAACCATTTGAATATTTACGAAGTAGTTTTGGTGCCTTCGTAACATGTTACGAAGCTGTCACAGGCGGTTGACACGTACTAGGAATACCCGTCACGACCCCTTCTGGTTGACCTGACCTGACCTGACCTGGCCTGGTCTAAATGCTTAAAGCCATCATCTGTGATCAAATCTAACACGATATTCGTGATCAGCACCCCGAAAAACCCTATAGCAGCCACATTTTATACGACTTTCTAACAGGTCTCGATTTTCCCGACTTCTGGAATGTCATCCAATGACCTAGGACCTTAAAATTGGGTACCATCGGCTTCCTCTCGCCACGGGCAACACACTCGCTTTTTTCCGCGAAGCTCTAGGTTGATCAGGGGCCGAACGGCAAGAGTGGGGTCCAACCGACCCCCCCCCCCCCCTACACGTTAGAAGCTGGCAAACGCGCACACATGCGAGAGTTAATGCCACGTATGTAGGTAGGTACACCGAAAGACAATTCTCTTGGAGAACGTTAATTTTTGTTTAACATTTTGCGCATATTAACTAAGTGTTCTATTTCTTTTACTGTTTTAGTTTTGCTTCACACGAATTATACCAACTGAATCAAAATAAATTGAACCCGAACTGAACTGAACGTGCTTTTCATGGGCACATGAAATAGCTGCGTGCTTTTCAGCTAGTTATTTTTGGAAGAAGGACAAGGCCAAAGACCTTGTCAAAGACCTTGACCTTTATGGTTAAAACATCCACGCTACCTACAAGACGTCATGCCATTCATTCTGAGTGGGACGAAATACTTCACAGCTATTGGACACAAGATAAAACTGTAAAGATGACGGAAGACACAATCGCCCTACATTGTCAACATTTCACATTGTCTTGTTGTGATGTCTCCTTAAGAACAATTACATATTGACGAGCGACGGCTGCTAAAATTCGCCCCATACATGCGGACGTAAATCAGAGGCATGCTCGAAGCTTCTCTTATCTTATCTTCAGTGATTATCTAATTAAATGGGAGAGCATGGAAAAAGGATGGAGGTAATTCATACCAAAAGACGGCAAGGGGAAGACAAGAAGACGGACTAAAACACCGATAATGAATAAAGTCGTGATCAGCACGGGGGCGCTTGCTGCTGCTCCGTCGCCCGTGCCGCCAAGACGGCGGCTGACCGGGGCACCCCGCCCGAGGCGCCTTTCACTGCCTAACATCGCCGGCGGCCTTCGCAGGGCCGGCAGCGGGCCAGTACAGATGGAGAGCTATATAACTGGGCGGCGACTCCGGATCGTCAGTCTGCCCAGAGCAGCGCTCCAGTCACAACATGAACGCGTTCAAGGTAAGCGTGCCAGCGCAGTGCATCAAAGAGAGCCGGCTTCAGTGAACGGATGAAACCTAGCTAGGGAGAGAACTAAGTGACAAAACTAAGCTATTTGCTGTTTCCTATAAGTTGATTTTGAGATGATGAAGATAATAATGATGCATATCCCCGAAAATGTGTCATTGGTCATTAACTTTTGCATCAATTTGAGAACTTCATGAAGTTTTTTTCGAAGAGTTGTTTCATGCACTCTATCACGGATCATAATCTGTGGGTCATATCGTCAGCTATCATCTGATTCGTGTCGTCTGACCTGACTCCTCTGTGATTCACAGGCCTGCAGCGCGCTGCTGCTGGTCGGCCTGTGCCTCGCCGACGGCGGCGGCGGCCGCGGAGGCGGAGGAGGGGGCGGCTACGGCGCACCCAGGGGCGGCGGAGGACGACCCCAGGGACTCGGCGGAGAGGTCATCGGTTTCGGTCTGCCGAAGAGCAGCGGAGGCGGTGGCGGTGGATACAGCGGCGGCGGCGGCGGCGGTGGTGGTCCGAGCCAGGGGTACGGAGCTCCTCAGGCCAACGATATCGTCCAGCAGGGATATGGCGCTCCGAGCAGCGGCGGCGGCGGCGGCGGCGGATATAGCGGCGGTGGAGGCGGGGGGAGCGTTAGCCAGGGTTATGGTGCTCCTCAGGCCAACGACATCGTCGAGCAGGGTTACGGAGCGCCCAGCAGCGGCGGCGGCGGCGGCTACAGCAGCGGCGGTGGCGGTGGCGGCGGCGGCGGCGGCGGCGGCTACAGCGGAGGCGGCGGCGGCGGCGGCAGCTCCGGCTACTCCCGGCCGCGCGCCAACAGCGTGATCCAGGCTCCCGCTCGCCAGCCGTCTTACGGTGGCTCCTCTCAGTTCTCCTCTGGTAAGGGCATCAGCGGCGGAACCATCTCGACCCGCACTTTCTCCGCTCCCCGCATCGTGAAGGGAACTTCGCAGTCGTCAGGAGGTGGCGGTTACGGAGGATCGTCTGGAGGGTCCTCGGGCGGCTACAGCGCCCCGGCTCAGCCCTCGGGCGGCTACAGCGCCCCGTCTCAGCCTTCTGGAGGCTACAGCGCCCCGTCTTCCCAGCCCTCGGGAGGCTACAGCGCCCCGTCTTCCCAGCCTTCTGGAGGTTACGGCGCCCCGTCCCAGTCTTCTGGAGGTGGTGGCTACAGTGCCCCGTCCCAGCCTTCTGGAGGCTACAGTGCCCCGTCTCAGCCCTCAGGAGGCTACAGCGCCCCGTCTTCCCAGCCATCTGGTGGCTACAGCGCCCCGTCTCAGTCTTCTGGAGGTGGCGGCTACAGTGCCCCGTCTTCCCAGCCCTCGGGCGGCTACAGCGCCCCGTCTTCCCAGCCCTCGGGTGGCTACAGCGCCCCGTCCCAGCCTTCTGGAGGCTACAGCGCCCCATCTCAGCCCTCGGGCGGCTACAGCGCCCCGTCTTCCCAGCCCTCGGGTGGCTACAGCGCCCCGTCTTCCCAGCCTTCTGGAGGTTACGGTGCCCCGTCCCAGTCTTCTGGAGGTGGTGGCTACAGTGCCCCGTCCCAGTCTTCTGGAGGCTACAGCGCCCCGTCTCAGCCTTCGGGTGGCTACAGCGCCCCGTCTTCTCAGCCCTCGGGCGGCTACAGCGCCCCATCTTCCCAGCCATCTGGTGGCTACAGCGCCCCGTCTCAGTCTTCTGGGGGTGGCGGCTACAGTGCCCCGTCTTCCCAGCCCTCGGGCGGCTACAGCGCCCCATCTCAGCCCTCTGGAGGCTACAGTGCCCCGTCTTCCCAGCCCTCGGGCGGCTACAGCGCCCCGTCCCAGCCCTCGGGAGGCTACAGCGCCCCGTCTTCTCAGCCCTCGGGTGGCTACAGCGCCCCGTCTTCTCAGCCATCAGGAGGCTACAGTGCCCCGTCTTCCCAGCCCTCGGGAGGCTACAGGGCCCCGTCTTCTCAGCCCTCGGGTGGCTACAGTGCCCCGTCTCAGCCTTCGGGAGGCTACAGTGCCCCATCTCAGCCCTCGGGAGGCTACAGTGCCCCGTCCCAGCCCTCGGGAGGTTACGGTGGGCCCTCTTCCTCTTCTTCAGGAGGCTACAATCCTCCCAGCCCTACCTACGGTGGCTTCAGCCCGTCTCAGTCGTCTGGTGGAGGCTACAGCTCGAGCTCGTCCTCATCATCTGGCGGCTACAGCCAGTCGTCGGCTCCCTCCAACAGCTACATCCCTCCTGCATCCTCCAGCAACGGGTACGGCAAGTAAGGCCATATCACAGCCAGTGTCAAAGCGAAGGCAAAGAGGCCCATCGGCGCTCATCTAGAAACAGAGCTTTCTATACCTCCCAGACAGCATCTGCAGCTCATGCTCATTGTACCCGATGTAATGTGCTACGCGTATTTATTGTTTTCTGTGCACATGATAACGCTGTAATAAATAAAGCGAAACTCGTGACAATTTGTACTGGATGAATGTAGATGAGGTGAGGCACCATCCTCACTCAGCGTTACACAAGCTGGCTGTACGTGATTCACTCCTCGGCCGTACACGAATATTGCTGAAACACGCCGGTGCACAATAGCTTGCGAAAGGGAAAGGCCATCGTCTCACCTAGTGTGGGCAACGCGACTGCTGGCACGTGAACACTAATGGGAGCGAACCGGGACCCCAAGGCCGCAGCCGACACCGCCGAGGAGGGTGGAGGGGTGCTCTCTCACCTTTTATTGCGGTCGGTGCTCTCTCGCTGCTAGGTCGGCTCGGCAGCTGCGAGGCGATGCTTTTGTGGAGCAACGGGGAGTAAAAGTTGCGAGAATTGCCATCTGTTTATCTTGTGGGTGAAAAACGTGAAAGGAATGGGCGATGGAGATTACCGTGTGTGAACGCATTTTATTTTCAGGAGCGAAAAAATGTGCGAGACAGCGAGATGTAGCTTTGGGAGGACAGCCGGCCCATATAGCTGCTTTTAGCTTTTGTGCTAACCCATGAGGGCAAGAACGCACTCGATCGCTTATAGTGCCTTGGGTTCTTAGAACACAACTTTGCAAACCGACAAATGGAGATTTGTGGCTAATGAGCCGGAGTTTCGCGGGAAAACGAGCATGCTGATGCTTCTCATCACGAGAGGAAGACAACAAACCGTAGATACCTTATTCTAAAGTCTCATATGTCAGTTAAAGGAGTTGGAATAAGGGCTTTGTTCTGAACACCTCCGCCGTTAACACTGCGTCAGATAATGCTCAATTTGTTTGGAAAAGGTCAATGTCCAGTTTGATGAGAGGTGAACTCTGATGACCCTGCCACATGGTTTTATTGCTGGGTCATACATACATAAAAGATGTATTATAAGGCAATTTATATGCCTTAGGCAGGGCTGCGGAGTCGAAGTCGAAGATAAAGTCGGAGTCGGAGTCGGTCGGAAACGATAGTTCTAGTTAGATGCCGGGAGTCGGAGTCAGAGTTAGAGTCCGTGTCGCCTAAATCTTACCGACTCTGACACTGGAGTGGGAGTCGACAATGCATGCCTTTAAGTCGTGCTCTACGTCTGTTTGCTTGAAAATATTATGTTTGTTGACCTTTCCAAGACAGATTTTGTCGACGCTCAGGCCATTTTTCTGATTTGTGCAGGCGTTTTGATCGTGAATAGCTGGAGACAGCGTCTGCGTCAGAACCTAACCTACATTGATCCTGATCCCTGACTAACCTTAGGGGCGACATGTGAAGTAAAAGCCCGGGCATGGTGATTTCAAAAGAGTTATTGCAAGATAAAGGTTAATGTGACCATCCTACCTAGATGTTTTTCATTTATTTTTTTCCTCCGTCCTATCATAAACCTACTATAATGCACCTTACAAGTTTTAAATTCGGAATGCTGTCGCTCACGACGCCAATGTTGTATGTGTCATATGATATGAATTTCTCATACGCTATTATTTAGCTATGAAAGAACTACCTTTTTGTGACTCATTTGTCGTGGCTTGACTTGATTCTAATGAATTTCATTTTTCTTCGGTACAAAAAAAAGACTATGACACAGAACCCTTGCGAAAACGACACACACGTCACACAGACACAATGTAAAATGTTACTTGTGCCTTTGTAACTTGATTTATTTCAAATCACCTTCACGTATTCATACAGCATTCATAAATATATGATAAATATTGAAAACATCCACACAACTCATGAATGACACAACGTGCTACTTATGGCCAAAGGAGTGGAAAGAATGATTATTGGGCCCAAGCAGTTAATCGTGATCCCTGCATAGGAGGAGTAATTATTTGCCATAACCAGCGCTTGAAGCGGAACCGCTGCTGAATCCGCCGGAGGAACCGGAAGATCCAGAGCTGTATCCTCCAGCCGAGGACTGGGAGGAGCTGAAGCCGCCTGAAGACGAGGGGCCACTGTAGCCTCCCGAGGGCTGGGAAGACGGGGCGCTGTAGCCGCCACCTCCAGAAGACTGAGACGGGGTGCTGAAGCCTCCAGAAGACTGAGAAGACGCAGCGCTGTAGCCACCACCTCCAGAAGACTGAGAAGACGGGGCGCTGTAGCCCCCCGAGGGCTGAGACGGGCCGCCAAAGCCCCCACCTCCAGAAGACTGGGACGGGGCGCTGTAGCCACCACCTCCAGAAGACTGAGACGGGGCGTTGTAGCCACCCGAGGGCTGAGAAGATGGAGCGCTGTAGCCTCCAGAGAACTGAGACGGGCCGCCAAAGCCCCCACCTCCAGAAGACTGGGACGGGGCGCTGTAGCCTCCAGAGGGCTGAGAAGACGGGGCACTAAAGCTTCCACCTCCAGAAGACTGGGACGGGGCGCTGTAGCCTCCAGAAGGCTGAGAAGACTGAGCTGATGGGGCACTGTAGCCTCCAGAGGACTGGGAAGACGGGGCGCTGTAGCCACCCGAGGATCCACCGGATCCACCTCCAGACGATCCTCCGTAGCCGCCGCCTCCACCCGATGACTTTGAGGAGCCCTTGACTATGCGCGGAGCCGAGAAGGAGCGGGTTGAGATGGTGCCTCCGCTGATTCCTTTGCCGCTGGAGAACTGCGACGAGCCACCCCGGAAGGGCTGACGAGCGGGAGCTTCGATGATGCTGTAAGATCGGGGCTTAGAGTAGCCACCATTAGAGTCTCCACCACCGCCGCCTTGACCGCCTCCGTATCCACCGCCGTTGCCGCCGTTGCCTCCCTGAGGGGCGCCATATCCAGAGGAGACACCGCCCCCACCACCACCGTTGAAGCTGCCTCCGTTTCCTCCCTGAGGGGCGCCATATCCAGACGAGACACTGCCTCCCTGAGGAGCGCCATATCCAGAGGAGACACCGCCTCCACCACCACCGTTGAAGCTACCACCGCCGTTAAAGCTGCCTCCGTTGCCTCCCTGAGGGGCGCCATATCCAGAGGAGACACTGCCTCCACCACCACCGCTAAAGCTTCCTCCCCCGTTGCCGCCCTGAGGGGCGCCATATCCAGACGAGACACTGCCGCCCTGAGGGGCGCCATATCCAGAGGAGACACTGCCTCCACCACCACCGTTGAAGCTGCCTCCGTTGCCTCCCTGAGGGGCGCCATATCCAGACGAGACACTTCCTCCCTGAGGGGCGCCATATCCAGAGGAGACACTGCCTCCACCACCACCGTTGAAGCTTCCTCCCCCGTTGCCGCCCTGAGGGGCGCCATATCCAGACGAGACACTGCCTCCCTGAGGGGCACCATATCCAGAAGAGACACTGCCTCCGCCACCACCGTTGAAGCTTCCTCCACCGCTGAAGCTGCCTCCGTTGCCTCCCTGAGGGGCGCCATATCCAGAGGAGACACTGCCTCCACCACCACCGCTGAAGCTTCCTCCCCCGTTGCCGCCCTGAGGGGCGCCATATCCAGACGAGACACTGCCTCCCTGAGGGGCACCATATCCAGAAGAGACACTGCCTCCGCCACCACCGTTGAAGCTTCCTCCACCGCTGAAGCTGCCTCCGTTGCCTCCCTGAGGGGCGCCATATCCAGAGGAGACACCGCCTCCGCCGTTGAAGCTGCCTCCACCACCGCCGCCTCCCTGAGGCGCTCCGTAGCCCTGGCTCGGTCCGCCTCCACCACCACCGCCGCCGCTGTATCCGCCGCCACCACCTCCTCCGTTGGACAGACCGAATCCCCTAACCTCTCCGCCGAGTCCCTGGGGTCGTCCTCCGCCGCCCCTGGGTGCGCCGTAGCCGCCCCCTCCTCCGCCTCCGCGGCCGCCGCCGCCGTCGGCGAGGCACAGGCCGACCAGCAGCAGCGCGCTGCAGGTCTGTGGGAGATGGAACAAAGGGCAAACGTCACTATTTAGTAGTTAACTTGATTAAAATAGAACTAATTGAGATGGTGCATTGAAATACATTCAAGGAGAAATAGTTGCGGACAATGCTGAGGATGCAAAAAAAAAACGAACTGTTCTTTGAAGTGTTCATGCAAAATGTTTGCTTTTGAAAAATGAAAAGTATGCCAAAGGATCACGCTGTTGGTGTTTCGATCTAAATAATATAAACGCTACGCCAAAGGACTAGAAGCAGAAGAGGCGTCGTTTAAATTTGCTCATCGAACTACTCATCGATTAGCTTGACATCGTCGACGATATTCAACAACTAATCAGTACCTACGATCGCAACATTCACGCGCCTTCTCCAGTGTTTATTCCGCATGCAAAATGAAAGTTTTGACTATGGATATCACTTCCTCTCATGACATAGCAGTGTCAGTCGCTGACTCACCCGATAGATGTGCATGATGTTGCTGTGGTTCCGCCGAGGGCGAACTGACGACCCCGCGGGCTGCACCGCTTATATATGCCGCCACAGGAGGCGAGGCGCCAGGCCATGGCCGGTGACACGACGCTATTTGGAGGCCGCGCGCTGTTCGGGGAGCTTCAAAATTGTTTGCCTATGCCGATCGGTGTTGCACCCCGGAGCCGTGACGGCGTTCCGGGCCGACCGGTCGGCACCGAGTCGAGGCCGTGGCCCGGTGCCGCCGGCCGCGGGGAGCCCCAGCGATGTGCTCCTGAAGTGAGCTGTCTCTTCCCATACCGGGCCCCACGGATAGAGGGTGTACTCGGGTCTAGGGGAAGAAAAAAACGGAAGCCTGCTGTCTTATTGCCGACGTGAACTTTTCTTTCACCAGATACAGGTGTATTTGGTAGCTTCTTGGCTTATACCTACTTGTGTAGATTTCGTGACCGATAATGAGTAAAGATGATCGTGAGTTCACTAAAACGATGTGATGGCGAGACAATGGAAAATGTGGAACGTTTGTCTGGCAAGTGTACTGAAAAGAATCATCTCCTTCTTCTTCTTTTTCCAAAATGGCATGACCGTACCGCATGCCAAGGAAATATGAAAATTATAGCAAAAAAGGAAGTAACGCGTTTAAAATGCGTATTATTTTGCACAACTAGAAAATCCAGAAAATTGTGCAGTTACAGTTATTTCCATAATCCACAGTTATTTATAGAAAATCAGAAAAGCTCTGCATTCGTTATTGCAAAGTTCCTATTAAAATGACGGACATTGACGGTTTTTTTAAATTAAAACGACCAACAAAGTGACTCGTCTAGCGTTTTTCAAACCTGGTGATACAATCAAGTTTTTGACCGTATATGCTAAGCGAGTTAACACCAGTATTCTTTCTTTGTGATCTTAGTGTGAGGTCCTTCTGGTCTATGTACCTATAATACCCTTGCCACATGGATATTGAAATGAGAGAATGAGGTGTAGAAGTTGGGTTGACACGAGTCGCGACCGGAGCCCGTCTCGATGGAGCAGGCACGCGGTGGGACAGGCCACCGCAGTCGCGGAAACGGTTCACAGGAGCTGAGAGGCATGCTCCTCTGGTGTTTCCCTTAAGTAACGGTTGTCTGCTGTGATGACCGTCAAATGCAAGCTCGAAACAAAGGACGGTAGAGGATGACAAGGCGGATAAACGTATAAGATAACTGATGACAATATATTGTAAATTAACACCACATATGGCGCCACTAAAACATGACATAAGTGATAGCTGTTTACCGTAAAGGCCATCCAACCATCAGAGCCGTTGGTTTTGGGCGAAGCATTTCTCTTAACTCGACAATGAACATTGTGGCGCTGATCCATGTGATATAAAACGAGGACGTAAGGCTCACCATCCACGCATGTCTTTATGATATCGTAGTCGTTAGCGGCCACCGACTACGATATTCTTTAGAAATGCGTGGATCAGCTCTTGAATGGAAATTTCGAATCACCCCGGGATCATTAGATGAAAAGCCGAACGTTTGCTATCTTTAGTTAGCAAAGGTCGCGGCCGCCGATATAAGGGCGCATCTCCAATGTCAACAACGTGACTGTAAGTCAGCAAGGTCACAGCGGAAGCAGTCAAATATGTGAACATGGAGGGAGCTGCGCCCATCCTCTGCGCAGCCCGACCTATCTTTGGGTGATGTTTTGAGACTAAAACAGGTGTTGTTGTGTAAGGAAACAATTAATTATTTATGACATAACTAAGCACTGGTCCAAATATGCGTGAACAAATTAAATGCGCATTACACATACAAACGGAAGATGCAATTGCAGTGCACAATGTGCATTTCCTTTGGGGTGGCAGCCAATGCAGACTTCAGTTTACAAGAGATCCATATCATACTCTTTCGGTGGCGGACGGAGCATGCCCATTGCCCACTGCACATGCATGCCTTGATATCTCGATTCCCATCCGTCTGTCCACACATCCGCCTGTCTGTCTGTCTGTCTGTCTGTCTGTCTGTCTGTCTGTCTGTCTGTCTGTCTGTCTGTCTGTCTGTCTGTACGTAGGTATGTCTGTCTGTCTGTCTGTCTGTCTGTCTGTCTGTCTGTCTGTCTGTCTGTCTGTACGTAGGTATGTCCGTCTGTCAGTCAGTCTGTCTGTCTGTCTGGCTGTCTGTCTGTCTGTCTGTCTGTCTGTCTGTCTGTCTGTCTGTCTGTCTGTCTGTACGTAGGTATGTCTGTCTGTCTGTCTGTCTGTCTGTCTGTCTGTCTGTACGTAGGTATGTCCGTCTGTCTGTCTGTCTGTCTGTCTGTCTGTCTGTCTGTCTGTCTGTCTGTCTGTCTGTCTGCCTGTCTGTCTGTCTGTCTGTCTGTCTGTCTGTCTGTCTGTACGTAGGTATGTCCATCTGTCAGTCAGTCTGTCTGTCTGTCTGTCTGTCTGTCTGTATGTCTGTCTGGCTGTCTGCCAGGTCTGCCTGTCAATCATTCCATCAGTCCGTCTGTCCGAGTGTCTATAGGTCTGTGCGGCTGTTCAGCTGTTCGTCCGTCCGTCCGTCCGTCCGTCCGTCCGTCCGTCCGTCCGTCCGTCCGTCCGTCTGTCCGTCCGCCCGTTTGTCCGTCTGTCTGACTGTCTTTCCGAGCGTCTATCCGTCTATCCGTTTGTCCGTCTGTTCGTCCGTCCGTCCCGTCCGCACTCACACCGTCAGTCCCGTCTGTCACTCTGTCTGTCCCGTCCCGTCTCTCGTCCCACTCCATCCATGTATACGCCCTATACTTCCATATGCGTCCATACACCCGTCACGTATGTCCAGCACTATCTGCATGTCCGTACGTATCTCAGTCTCCCCGTCTCTCCGTCCGTCTATGTATATACACGCCCCGTTCCGTCTGTCCACCTGTGCGTCCGACCACCAGTGCCAGGTGAGACTAGCGCCATCTCTGCGCCGTTGAGGGGCAGGTGACCTACAGTGGCGCCGTCAACCGCCCAGGGGTGGAGGGCGGAGGCTTACATTATATGTGTGTACAGTACTTAGGGGTTGCACTTGCAGCCAAACTTTGAAAAGTGCAACGTCAATGCCGGCTTGTGCATACCTAAGTTTAGGGTGTCTCTTCTGGGGCACCGCCCTCCATTCAGGCGCCGCACCTCGAGCATGGTCCGCGACCAAGGTACCTAATAGCCGTTTTCACGACGGGCTATCCGGCGAATGCACCTAATTTGATCAAATCTGCACCTAATCTCTTTTACAGCACATATCTTCATTTTATTAATTCATTTCAGTGTTTTGATCGATGATACTCTCTGATAGTAGCCGCGTTTACATAGGGCTAGTTGCCAGATAGTGGAATTCCACTAACGAGACATTTTTTCCACTAACGAGACATTTCAGGCACCTTCAGATAATTCTGACGACCTATCCGGCCAGAGGGACCAAACCGATTGACAAAAATAAATACATCGTGGCGGAAGAACACTACGAGGTACTTCAGGCCTAGACATAGTATAGATGTCGCAACTCGCGGCCTTCCCGGCAGTAAGGGCGAGGTATAGATGACGCTACTGCAGCAAGTCATTGGAACGTGCGAGTCGTGGAATGGAACGGAAGATACGGAACGGGGGCTTCTTAACGGGAGCTCATTCGTTTTATTTTCATTTAAGAATTGATTTCGTGCGCTATGGAAAGAACATTGTCTTCTTTTTTCATACGTCTGCACCCCCCCCCGCGTCCCCTCCATCCTTTTGATCAGCCAGTGTGCAGCAAGAGGGTTCATCGGAGAAAAACAACAAAGAGCAATCCTCCCTGAGCCTGTCAGGTCAGAAATAACCTGAGCATAGGCGGCGGAACGGGGAGGGCACCGGGGCACCGTCCCCCCTTTGATTTTGGCCTGCATGGAAAGAATGGGACCAAAAGTCGGCGGTGCCCCCCCCCCCCTCCGCGGCTACTGAACCTGAGGACCGTTCGTTATGCCCTACTGCCCACGCTTCTTAAAATTTCAGTAGTAGTCAGTTATCTGGCCAATGTTTCCGTATAGGGGCTGGCAAACACAACTGAGCCTCGTGAGTGGGATGAGTACTGGACACAGAAGTGGACAATCTGTTGGCAAGAAGCCCGCAAGGATAATATCTCGAAACTCAGGACTACGTATACAAACACTTTAAATGCATCTAAATCTATACTATAATCGAAAGCCGCATTGTTGTGAACTACCGGCACGTGCGTCCAATCACCATCAAGAACGGAAGTCCGACCTACAGCAAGCACGACAGTCCGATCATAGATGTATTGAAAAATGACTAGTAACTTTAAACATCGCCTTCCTCAGCCACGCTCCACACCGCATCACATAAGAAAACCGCCAATATCGATTACAAAACACACATAAAGGAATTCCGTAGGTATAGATCAGAGGAATACTTCACCTCCTTTATCTGGCGCGTCAATAGGTATAAAGTAATCTTTGGCGTCTACGCACTAGCAACATCTATAATGCAAACAGCAGTTCAGAAACCATCCACTAAAATTGTAACAAGGCAAGGGTTGGTCAAAATAAATTATAGTCACCGCGATAAATAGCAAACGAAATACAGAACAAGCACAACAAAGCATTCCACACTCGTTTAGACTGTACAACATGCCTACATAAGACATTGCAGCAGTGTACAAGGAAAACATTCTTTAAAGATGCTAACGTGGGGAGTTTTAAAAGTTTGGTGAACACAGTTACGAGTCACTGCACAAGAAATGTAGCGCGGTCGCCAGCCGGCCCAGGCGAAAGAGTCGACGGAGACGGCGTCAAACAAACCCGAGAGGGGGTAGTTTCATCCGCATCAGCGGAGGCGCTCTCTCTACCAAGGTCGTCAGTTACCAGCCGCAGCACCCTGCTGGCGATTTGAAAGCTGCTCTCATTCTCAGCTGGCTGAGCGCCATGTGCCGGGTCATCCGGCTCCATGATTTCCCCTTTCATTAGCAGCTGCTGTTGAAGTTATTGTTGTTGTGTTCCTTTCAGCCGCTGCCGCAGCATAGCCGTACGGTTCTGGATGGTTTTCACGGCGGCAGCCAGGGTCACCAAATCCGTCTCCCCGTAGCCACACCAGACTCGAGAAAATGTACCGAGATGTACCGAGCCAATGTTGCAGCACTCGCGGCATTCATCGGTAGGACTCCGCCCAACCCAATGTCAGCACTGGCAGGAGCCCGACCAGTGGTCCAAACGAAACTGATGAAAATCGACAGCTGATGAGCGGTCCTCCACTGACGCCGGACGGGTGGCGACGGCGCGGCCGGTCCTGGAGCTGGAACAGCAGAATGGACCGGCCGGGACACGCGGCTCATCAGTCCATTCGTCCTGCTACTCCCCGTAGACCCCAGCTCCTTCACTGCAGGTTCTCGCGTCTGCCGACCCGTCCGTCCACACCCACGCGGCTCGATAGGGGAGGGGAGGGCAGATATCGTTACGTCGCTTGAAGCAGTTCAGCTGCCGAGGCTCTTTGTCGCAACGCCGCCAGCGCCGGGCATCGCAGCAGCACATACCGTGGAGTGCCAGCCTCTTCGCGGCAGACGCGGCATCGGGCAGCAGGGCACTCCACGTCGTTGCATTGTGCGCATCCGGCCTCGGGAGGCAGCCGATGCAGAGCAGGTACTGGCGGATGTAGATAACGACTGCACGGTCGGCCTCCAGGACGGAGCCGGGACAGCGGTCGACCCATATCGACCGGTACCATCCGTCCGGCCAGCTCCGCCGCCAGGCGCGCGCCTGCCTCGCGGATAGTGCTGCCCACGTCGATCGGCGGACGGCGCTACCGTTGGGATAGGGCGCCAGCCTCGCGCGCGAGGGCGTCCATCCGCTCGTTGCCCGGAAGCCCGCAGTGTGCAGGAACCCACTGCATTATCACTGGCTGGTCCCCTCGGTGAGCGCGGCCAGCAGCCCCCATATGTCTGCGGCCAGAGGGGCTCTCTGGGCCGCCGCGCCGCTCCGCAGGAGGGCCAGCGCCGCCATCGAGTCGGTACAGACGATAATTATCGGAAGAGAGGTGTCGCGACCAGTCTTGGTCAACAGCTCCTCCAACACCGCTCTTAGGGCGAATAGCTCGCCGCGCGTGCTAGAGCAGAGGGCGCCTGCCGCGACACGCACCTCCCGGATGTCGCGGTTCGGGGGGGGGGTGGCCCCTCCTCCTCCATCTAGCACACCATCGGTGGCGGAGCTGTCTGACCAGATCAAGCTCGCCTCAGACGGGAGCTCCGCCAGACGACTTTCCGCCGCCTTGGCTCGCCAGCCGTCGCGCCCAAACTCGCTTCAGGCCGTGAGTCTATAGCCGGCGCGGTGGCGTGGCTTCGCCATACTAGCCTTGGGCGGGTTGTCCTCAGAGAACGCGTTCGCATTGGCGAGGAGGCGAGCAGCGCCACGAGTCCTGAAATGACCAAACAATATCAATAGACAATCAAAATTGTGAAAATTGGCATTAACTGCGCAACTGATGTTTGCTTGTTTGTTTATTAGGGTTTAAGGGCGCTACGGTGGTCATTTTGCACCCATGACGCTGTTCTGGTGAACCTGCGCAACTGAGCAGTGATCATGCCATAACTTATGTTTGGCGTAGTGGCAGGGTTCCACCTAAAATTTCGGCGCACGTCAGGTGTAAAGTCACATGCGACAAATTCAGCGCATGTCAGTTGGGGAGACTAAGGCTGCTGGAATAATATAAAACGAGGGCACCAAAAATTGATCCTAAATGACCATACTTGGACATTAATGCAGACCCTCTGTGTATCACCAATTGTCAGAAAACAACCATGTGTTTGAAAGAGCGTTGGAGAGTCATGAAGCCAAGATAAAACACAGTGCTATTTTCTCAAAACAGCTTTTACATGATAGAGTTAGGTAACTCTCTCTCTCCGTTAACCATTCGCAAGGCCAAAAAGGCCTATTGGTTTTGAAAGGCATTGGATTACAAGCTGAGCATTTTTTACTTTATCATAAAATATTAAACCTGCGTGTAGATGAAGTCTGAACGGTGGTTTGTAGGCTGATAGGTTGGAGGTTGGAGGTTAGTAGGGAAGGTAAGGTCAGGATAATTTCTGCTTTTTATTTTCATTGGACTTTAGCCTTCATCAACACACGCATCAAAAATATCTACTTGAGCATCTTCAAGCCTCAATATACAACAAGGTGTACCAAAACAAATTAAAAATTGATGATATGCCAATATATGGTCATGATTTTCACCACCAGAATTGAATTAAATGCCTATTGATGCCTTACCTAATATTTTGATGCCTGAAATCTGATTAAGCAAGCATTTTTTTCTTGTGAATTGGCAGTCTAAAATTTGGCTGGCTTGAGCACGATGCTATTGCTCTAGCAGAATCTCAAACAGATGTCTACCAAGTGCCACTCTCAAGAAAGTTTTTCAAGATTCTAAAACCACAAACTTTGTTGATGCCTGGGCCCTGTTTCACCGCCCGACGCTGCGCGCGCTGCAGCGCGCTGGGAGCTGAGGCGTACCCCTGACGTCACTCGAATGACGTTGCGTGCGATCCGTTAGCTTCTGATTAATCGCGTTTGGAACAGAGGTTCTAAAGAACCAAGTACAGAGAGAACAGAGTTTTGAGTGTGAATGCTGCTAGCGTGCTGATGGTGCTGGCGCTTGGGTGCTGGCGTTTTGCGATGACGTCATAGCGCAGCGTCAGAGGGAAGTTTGTTGATATTGCCATGGAAACCCAACGCGCCGACGCGCGCAGCGCGCTGCAGCGCTCCGCCGTGAAACAGGGCCCTGATCATGTGATGGTTAATCAAATGATAGTACTCCATCTGAGGCCAGTTTTACAAACAGAAAGTAGCCACCTGCCGGATTATTTTGCCTAAAGGCTAATTCACATATGGAGCGTAGATGGTGAAGTCCTCCCTGCTTTCATGCTAATCGCGTTTACTCTCTGTATGTTGTACCTACGTGGAATGGATATATAAGGAGAAAAATTCCAGGCAGCTATTTTTGTTGGTAAATCGGGTAAAGTAAAACTGGCCTCTGAATGAAAATTTGGACTGAGTGAGATCTGTCGGCTCTTTGGTGGTTTGAATGGGAGTTGATGATTTTATTTGAAAGATTAAAAGGAACGGGTTTCAAGACAATCGGCATGACAAACCAACACCTTACCTGCAGTTCAAGTTTGTCGATTTCTTTATCAAAATCTAGTCTGCGTCTAATCCACAAATCAAGATAAAATTACTGGATAGGTACAACTTCTTCTTATTCTTCTTCTGCACCTCACCAGCCGCCCCCTACACTTCTCCCTTATTCTGATAAATATATTTACATAATTTTCACAAGAATGCCACTCAACGGGGTAGATCTAAAAAAGTGCAGGGCTTAAATTTTGAGCTATAGAGTTCTGTGATTTTGAGACAGCCAATATGTCTTCGGCACGCCGTATTTGTCTCTCACTGCCTGCGAATTCGGCGATATGATTGGTCGAAGGCCGAGGTTATGGGTCCAAGAAAAGGCCAAGATTCCTGCCAAGATTCTTACAGATAGCCAAGGCCGATGACTGACGTGACTGACGGCATGGCATATTTACGTCTGGACAACGAGTTGCGGGGAAAAGTGCTGATTTTGTCGCAGTTTTAGGAGCCGGTGATTAGGCTGGATTTTAAGGTTACTTTTTCGTTACGATTCCTGTATTTCGTAGTGTTTAGCTTTTAAATATTTTAGTTCTCTCAGAAAAATATTACTTGTCTGATGGATTTGGTTAAATTGTTTCATTTTAATAAGCCGAATGCTAGAGTCATAAAACAATACACCAGCACTACAATTATTGTAAACAAACAAATGGAGCACCGCTTGGCTCAGTTCCAAGGCCTTTTTCAAGTTCATCTGGCGTTTTCATATTCGTGTACGTCGTTTTGTTGGAAGTTTTGGATCCCTTGTGATTGAATTATATCTTGTTAAAGAAACATGTTGACTGAAAACAATTCCAAGTATCCAGGAGGCTAAGGCGATCCAGAGTCCTAAGCCCTGAGCAATATCAATTTGAATTTAGGAAATGTTGGTTGATAAACGCAAGTTGGTCTGGCTCACTTATCAGCAAGAAAAAGTAATATTAAAAGAGCTTATTGGCCAAAAACAAGCTTGATACTATTGCAGGAGATAAATACTGAAGAGCACGCTGAGCAATATCAAGCCAGAAAATGCTGGCTGACGAATGCGTATTGATGTATTGGTGTTAATATTGAATTATAACTTACAACAGCAAGATTAATTTGTGCTAACTAACAAGTGAAAAAATCTAGAATGAATGAACTCAGGCAGCTTTACTTTGCAGAATGGTAATGTCGTAATGTGCATTACTGAGTGTCTGGCAAATGAAACACACAATCATTCCATTGCTACTGGAGGAGACAGCTTGCTGCTTGGATCACTAAATCAGCTTAATGTTTAATTTGATGTTCATCATTACTTTGCATTTCTTGAAAAAAGGATTTAAGAAGAATTGTCAATGTCACAAATACAATCCATGCAACAATGTGATTGTATGATGTGTTCATAGTCATTAGTGATTATTGGTCCAATATACAATAGCAAAGCTGTCAGCGTTTCTTTCTGTGGATGGCCAGAAATGACTCAGAACTTAGAAGTATTAGTTTTCTTCACAGGGCTAGGATAAAAAGTACTGAGGGTAATCTTCCAGCAAGGAACTTTATAGTTTATTTTGACTTGGTATGAGATATAGGCACAAGTAGGTAGGTACTTAGTCATATAGCTAGTAGTTGTGTAGGTTAGTTGGGTGCTCTTAGATCAGGTTGTTAGTTTTTAAATTGCCTAGTGTCCATAACAATGTGACCTGGGGGCTGAGCATACCTGACTAACTTGACCTAACCTCAATCATCACACATATTTGCAACCTACCCAAGACCTGCATAGCAGTAGCACTCAGTTATAGGTAGGTACTTCTCACCCTAGCTCCATCTCACCTGCTAACCTTCAACTTGCCAACAGTTAGCTCACCTTGCCAAGCCGTAGCCAACTATCCAGGGAAACAGTCAAATGAGGAACTGGCTCATTGGGTGGCTGGTGAGAGTCTGTGCGTGTCTCTTCACAGTGTCTCTTCTCTGAAGCTGCTCAGCACTACTGTATGCCATGTTAGATGCTCAGAAAAATGTGGGAAATGATAACTAGGCTACTTTAGTGCTTTGTTCATGCTCAAGACATCAACAAGTACAAATCCTGTGGGGTAAAGCTATGAGCTGGGTGAGTAATGAGTATGTTAGGTGAGTGTGTTGCTGGACTGTAATAAATATACAAACAAACATAGGGTCACAGTTATATTCAATCTCCACATAAACATACAACAAAAGCGCCCATAGCCTCACTCCGAGCACACAACAAATAGCTAAGCCTTGCAGTCACAAAAATGCTTTGATTTACAGGATAGGTATACCTACAATATATCCTCTGTCCTTGGGGATCTTCCTGCCAAGTTGAAGTAAGATGACTGAACTTCAGGATTGATCAACCTTTTCTTCTTAGCCACAGCTTATGTACGAGAAAGACTAAATGCTTGGTTGATTAACTGCCTTGAAAATTTTATGATCCATCTTCAATTCTGACATGAAGGCACAAAGAAAATAGTTCCCTCTCCTCTTGGAATACACAAAACAAAATATGTAATATTTAATAACTTCTTAGCGGATGGACAACTGACAACAGCAATTATCATAGCTTGAAGCTTCCCCTCAAGTTAACCTCTGGCACTAATGAACTACACTGACACCTCTGATCCAAGATAAACTTGAAATGTGTAAATCTGTCTAGTCAATCATGCAACGGATGAACTTGAGGTCAATATGATATTTTGCGATATACAACGTTACTTTGGAACCTTTTTGCATGTTTGGCATGTTTGCTTCATATTTTGTAACAAACGCGCAAAAACTGCAATATTACAGCACTATATGCTTCTGGACAAAATGCAATGGTAGTGAAAACTTAGCGCCAATGGTATTCATTCTTGGCCAAACGTAATCACAAAATGTTTTGTAGTAACTATTAAATTCCAGCTGAAAACAGTGTACGGGTTCAAAAAGAATTATTCCAATGGCGGTCCATTCTTGCGGTCCTCAAATCGCCACTATTTCCGGCCTCTCCAACGCAACTCGTTGTCCAGACGTAAATATGCGACGGGCATGTTACTGCCCTTGGCATATTGCCAATGCACTGCTCGGTCATATCGGCAGTAATATCAACAGTCATATCGGAAGTAATATGGTAACTAAACGCAAAAACCATTTGGCGTATAGCTACCATACTTTTCCGATAACGAGACATTCTAGATCAATCTCTCTGCTGTTGGCGACATCTGCTGAGAAATCCTAAGACCGAACGCAAGCACATAAAAGTAATGCAGTCTAAGGATGCGTTCGAAATCTGGGAAGTGACGGATTTCATTCCTCAATGCGTGTCCCAGCCTTCCCAATGCTGTTCGTTCCGCCATCTATTGCCATGTTTCGCATTCGCATTACATGGATTCACCACCCCGCCAAGTAGGTTGGTGTCAAGTTGGTATAGGTGTCGCATTGCTCTGGTCGATCAGGCTGAGCCAGCTGTCTGGAGAGTGGAGCCGATCCAAAAAAACGCAGAAATTCAAAAGACCGACTCCAAAGCAATGGCAGCATGCATATCAATAGAGCGTAATTCTGTCATGATTGCGTCAGAAGCAAACATAATGGCAAGAGTTTCTTGTGTGTCGGTAGGCGCGTGTGGAGCCGCTGGACCGACCGGGGACGTACCCAAGGGGGGACGGACGGGGTGCGCCTCCCCCCTAGGGGTTTTCAGGGCCCATGCTGGCAGAAGACCCACGTTGGCCAAAATCACGTCGGAGACGAACGAAATTTATGGGAATCCACAAAAAAATCACGTCAGGACAATCAATTGGCTCTCCGACTCGCCTGCCACCTAGGGTCCTTCAATTTACTACATGGGGCCTCCTGTGAATAACCGCTAGTGTCTGTGTCTGACCACTAGGGCCCCTCTGACTCCTCGGGTAGAGGGCCCTCTGTAGGTAGGAGGCTCTCTCTACGGGATTCCTCCGCTCCCCCCCCCCCCGGCCAAATTCTAGGTTATACGTGCCTGCGCTAAGCCGGCGTCGGAGAGAGGAGTTGACGACCGAATGACAAGGAGTACTCGTCCTGAAAGTAAACATTTGGAATACAAACAATCCAAAGCTGTTCAGTATTTATATCATTCGAGAGCAGTGCCTTCAATCTGGATACACTTAGCATTCATTTCCCACACCCGTGTACACTCCACGAAGGCTTCTCCGCTGCGGACTCCCGCTTCCGCCGATGCGTCAGTTCATACCCTGATGGCTTGCTGGGGAGGGTGGCCAAGTGTCGCTGTGCCGCCAGGTGTAGTTCATCAGCCGAGGCGTCGCGCTGCAGTGTCCCGATGTCCAGCCTGAAGGTGAAGTCTGGGAAGGCGGCCACCTCCCACGGCGGCGCGCTGGCATGCAACCAGGGGGTCGAGCAGCAGGGCGATCCCAGCCGCTCGCCAGGTTTCGTGCCCCACCCCACGCCAGCCCGTCACCGACTTCAGTCGGCTGGGCGGCCCATCTTCCGCGATAGTCCTGAGGGCTTGCCCTCGGGGAGCGCGTGCGCCTTGGCGAAGAGCTTCGCTACCAGCACGTCTCGCCGGGCGGCCAGCGGGCACCGGCATCAGTGCGGCCTCCGCCATCACTGCGTGGGCTGGGGTGCACAAGGGGCAGCCGGTGATATACGGGTAATCGCCCGCATCTCCCTCTGGAGGAGTTCCACGTGGGATTGCGGCGTCACCAGGAGCCTGGTGGCGGCCGCGTGCACCAGCACTCCACGGACGTATCCAGACGCTACAGCGCAGAGCTGTCGTTCCTCTAGTCCCCAGCCCCGCGCTGTCAACTTGCGAAGCTGCTGGATCCGGGGCGCACTCGGGAGCGGAGACTGCGGCAATGGGCCCCGACGTGAAGGAGCAGGTTGAGGGGGTGGCTCCGAGTAGTTTGAGACGGTCGGCTGCTGGAACCGACTTTCCGTCGACTTTGATGGCGCAGTCCACGGCGTCCGCGGCGCTCTAGGAGACGACGAGCAGCTGCGTATTTCACCCGCTACCAGCATCTTGGACTATTTTGCCCAGCACACTACAGCGTCCGTCGCCTGCTGCGTCCGGCCCCAGCTCAGTGTCGTCTGTTTCCATTAACACTCTGAAATGACAAAACAGTTAGCAATTAAAATCAAAGTTCAGCACTGACCAAGTTTAACCAAACTTGCCATTTCAACATAACACAGTGAGCTGTCAGAATGCTGTTCTTTGTGCTTTGACACAGT